GGCTGGGTGGCAGGGCAGGCGGTGCATCATTGCACCCAAGCGGCTGCAGTGCATTGCGCACACTCCTGCTGCTGCTGTTGCTGCTGCCGCATTCAGCCCTCCACCCTCACTGCTGCAGCTGCGCGAGCATCTTCTCCACCCGGTACTTCATCACCGGCTGCCCGTGGCTGGTCTTCTTGTACAGCAGCTTGGACCTGGCGGCGCGCTGCTTGGCGTCTGCCGCCAACTTGGCGCGCCGCTCCTCCGCCACGCGCTGCTGCTCCTCCCGCTCCCGCTGCTTGGCCTCCTGCGGCAGCAGGCAGGGGTGAGGCAGGTGCGCGGAGGGGTGGGCGGGACCATGTGAGCGTGGCAGCAGCAGGCGTGGACACCGGAGCTGGCAGCTGTCAGCCAGCAGGCAGCACGACGCGGCTTTGCAGCTGGGCAGCAGGCAGCCCCACCTTGTCGGCCTGCACCTCGGCTGCAATGCGCTGCACATGCGACAGCGGCTTGTGCTTCCTGCCCTCACCCCGCCCGCCGCGCCCGACCCCACCGCCTCGGCCACCACCTCGGCCACCTGGTCCGCCGCGGCCAGCACCCGGCTGCTCCTTCTGCTGCTGCTGCCGCTGCGGTTGCTGGGATGGGGCACTGCTGGTGTGCTGCCGCTCCCCGCCTGCGCCTGGCTGCTCGCCCGCCTGGTCTTCCTGCACTGGCTGCTGCTGCTGCTGCTGCTGCTGCTGCCGCTGTGCTGCTGGTGGATGCTCCTCATCCGAGTATGGATCCTGCAGAGGGGCAGAGCGTGGCAGCTGGCAGCGAATCAGCGGCGGCGGCGGCGGCGGCGGCAGCGGGATGCAGCATGCAAGCGGTGCCGGTTCCAGCCAATGACGCAGGGCGCGTAGGCACCTGTGACAGCTTGAACTTGGGCTCTATCTTGTCCCCCAGCCGCTGTTTCAGCTTCTTGAGCTTGTTCACTTTGGCGGCGTTGAGCGCGCGCTCTTTCTCCTGCTTGGCACGCTTGTCGTAAGAGGATTTCTTCAGCTTGCTGAACTTGTCCAGGCTGAGGCCCGCCGCAAACTTCTTGTGCGGCTTCTTGTGCCCGTGTTTGGGCTTGCGCAGCGTCTCCATGGTGACTGGGGTTGTAGAGGCGCAGGGAGATGGCGGGTAAAAGTGAATGCTGGTGAGTCTTGGGCGAGGTACCCGCCTGCTGTCCCGCCGCGGCCGCGCCGGCCGTTGCCAGTCCGCTTACTTCAAGCTTCACGGGCAGCGGTGTGCCTTGAGTCATGGCCAATTCCAATTTCACACGCGGTGAACGTAATCCGGCTCCAAAATATCATCATTCTTGCTACATTGTGGCCCCGCACTGTCGCCACGGAGCGAGCAGCTCACCGTCTCCACTGCATGAAGCGACTGAGCACTGCCACCTGCCTGGCTTAGCAAATCGGCTGACAGCCGGACACTCTGGATGTAGTTAAATGGGGGGTGACGGACTTACCCCATGAACAACATGGCCCCGTGAGCGTCGCCATTGGTGCCGCCCGCCGCCAAGTCAGCATGCATCAGAAACACACAAAGAACCCGTCTGAACGCTTTAGCGCTGCAGATCACTTCTCAGTTCACTCCACCAGAGCACAGAACACCCGCCGACACTGATACGCCATACTCCGGAAGCGCAGAAGACCAACCCAAGCCTGCTCTGCTCCCGGCGTCTCGGAATAGCAATGTCAGACACGGAGATGGATGGGCGATGGGCTGGGGCGCAGCGCCTGCTGTCAAACACAAAGGTCTCGGATGTGTGCAAGACGGGGCAGAAGATCGTGCTGCTGGAGCACAATCAGACGATAGGCGACGCCCTGAAGACGCTAGCGAAGAACGGCATCCTTAGTGCTCCAATGGTGGGTGGGGCACCACCGCCGCTGCAGCCGCGCTCCTGCGGACTCGCCGAACCGACACACGGCCACCCTCGCAGCTGCACGTCATCCCCCTGCTCCTCCAACCCTGCAGGTCATCTCGCCAGACATAGAGGAGGTGCAGGGAGGATCGATGAGCCCACAGCTGCTGGGCTGGATCGACGTGGCCGATGTGTTGCGCGGCTTCCTGCAGCGTGAGCCGTGCCCGCGGGGCCAGCCCTGCAACCCGCTGGCTGGGGCGCTTGCCTGCACGTCAGTGGGTGAATGCCATGGGCCGCTTGCAGTTAGCAGGTGAAGAGCCACCAGCCCTACAACGGCTCCTGGGCGGCCCAGATGTCGAACAATGCCTGTGTGGCGGGGCGCTGGCTGCAGACCTGCAGGAGGCGGGGCACGAGCTGCCCACCCAGATGCTGAAGCTCATGACTCTGCTAGAAAAGGAAGGGCCGGTGTTCAGCGACCGGCTGCTGGTCACAATCAGGGGTGGGTGGCAGCTCCGCTTTGCTGCTGGTGCGTCGTGGTGGCGCCCGTGGGAGCGGAGGGTGGTGGTGGATGGGGCTGGGGCAATGCGGGGGCAGGAGAGGACGCTGGGGGCTCAGCTGGCTGCTGTTGCGCGGCGCGCGTGCACACTGCCTGGCCTCCTGGGGGTGCCGCTGCAGGCGTGGAGGACCGCGGGCTGGTGTACCAGGCTGAGGGCGGCACCACCTCGTTGCTGGACGCCATCCGCAACCTCTTCCTGCGGCCCGTGGACGGCGAGACCAAGGCACGCGCTCGGGCTGGCTGCTGCTGCTGGGCTGGGGCTTGCTGCGAGCGAGCCTGGAAGCAGGCTGCCCCCAAGCCCAACTTGTTGCAGTGCCCTTCCGGTGCCCTTTGCAGGTGGTGCACCGGCTGGCGGTGTTTGAGGCGCACGGCGAGATCACAAACATCGTCAGCCAGACAGATGTGATGCGCTTCCTGCTGTCCCGCGTGGATGAGCTGGGCCCGGTGGCCAACCAGAGCTTGGAGGAGCTTGGCATGCTGACAGGTTGGTGGGGGTAAGGGGAAGCGGGGAACAGGCGCACCGCAGGGATCAAGGCCTGCGGATTGGCCAGCCCTGCTCCAGTCTCTTGCCCCTGCCTCCAACGACTCCATGACGTGCTGCCGGTGTGCACGCTCGCGTGGAATCTGCCGATGTACACAGCACCCCAGCATGGCATCCCACCTGTGTGTGCCCCACGCCACCTCCCTGCCGCTGCAGGCAAGCCGCCGGTGCTGTCTGTGAACCCACACCTGCCCGCCCTGCTGGCCTACGCACAGTTCGCAGCTCAGCAGGTGAGTGAGTGCGGCTTCATGGGATGTGTTCCTTGGCTGCGTCTGATTGTGAGCGGACCTGCACCTCAGCTCCTGCCACAAACTTCTCCTGCGGTGCTGCTGAGTGGGTGGCTGGCACACGCACCCTCAGGTGTCTGGCGCCCCGGTGGTGACTGACAGCGGCGAGCTGATCGCCAACCTGTCCATCTCAGACATCAGGTAGGCAAGGTTGGGGTGGGGGAGGGCCCACGGCGGCCACACAGTGCGGCTGCGCTGCAGCTGGCGCGCTCCCCGCGTGCCACTAGCCACCAGCTCAGTCGCACAGCAACAAAACCAGCACAGTGCTGAGCTGCCTCCGCCGTCACGCCGCGCCCCGCAAACCCACCCCCGCAAGCGCACCTCTGCACCGCCCCCCGCTGCCCGCCGCAGGGCCATCACCGCGGAGCAGTTTGGCGCGCTGGCGCTGCCCGTGGCCGAGTTTTTGGCTGTGCAGCACGGTACCGCGTACCTGGGGTACAGCGCCACCACCAGCGAGCACGCGCGCCACCCCTTCTTCGCCTCGGCCAACCGCTCGGGCGGGCCCGCCAAGGGCGACATCCAGCTGTTCACGGCCCGCAGGGACACCACGCTGGCGCAGCTGCTGCAGAAGGTATGCGTGCACGCGTGCGTGCGCGCGCGTGTGTTTGTGTGTGTGTGCTGGGTGGTACTGCGGGTGGTACTGTGGGTAATGTGAGGAGTGGGCAGCGCATGTTCAGCTGAGCAGGGGAGGGACGGGGTGGGGCTGTCAAGGTGTGGATGAACCAAGGGATGGGAGGGGCTCTCAGTATGTGAGTGTATGGCGCGCCCAGCCCAGCACCCCATGCCCCTTGCGCCTCCCCCACCGCCTGCCCCAGATTGTGGGCGAGCACATCCACCGCGTTTATGTGGTGGACAGCGACGAGGCGCCGCGCGTGCAGGCCGTCATCACGCCGACAGACATCCTGCGCCTGGTGGCAGGCGTGTACTGAGGGGCTGGGCCGCATCCGCGGGGGGGGCCTTTGCCACCATCAGAGCTGCTCACCTGGCAGCCCGAGACCCGGCCTGGCAACCTGCAACGCCCAGCAGTCCCCAGGAGGCAGGCCCACGTGTGCGCATGAGGCCCAACTCACCGTCTGTGCCTGCCGCTCTACTGCCGCCGCGGCAGCAAGTGCGGCCCATTCGTTGCATTTTGACAGCATTGCTTTGCCACGCCATTATACCTCCAATCCCAGTCCCAGCGTACATGTCAGCCCTTTTGTGTATCGTATCGTAGCATGTAGCATGCCACCCGCTGTGGTGCCGTCCTCTAGATGCGCTGCCGCCCAGCGCACAGGTGCCGACATTCCCCCTCAGGGAGGATTGGTGCTACTGTTCACAGCAGCTATGGGTCAGTGTTGCAGTAGGTAGCGTGGCGGGCCCGGGGACGTGCCGAGTCCCAGCCCAGGGAAAAAAGAGGCGGACTGGGGTGTGTCAAGAAGGGCGCTGGAATAAGAAAGAATGAAAGTGGATGAGAGGGGGGAAGCGTGGCGTGTGGCGCTCCCGGCGGGGCAGGCAGCAGCGGGACGCGGCGCTGGCATTGCAGGCAGGCCGTAGGTGGCGGCGACCTTACGCCTTTGCGGCCCAGGGGCTGGTGGCGGCTGCCGCTGGGTTTTGGGCTGGCTGCCTCCTTGCCTCACGGGGAGGAGGCGGCCACCACCCTGCCGTTGCCGGCCTGCCGTCCCAGCCTGGGGTCTGGCTGCGGCTGCCGGGCGCCCTACTCGGAGCGGTGCGCGTACGAGGTGAACCCCTTCTCCCGCACATCGATGCCCACCATGGGCTCCCCCAGGTCGCAGCTGACCTCGGCCACAATGGCGGGGTCGTTGTAGTGGGTCACCGCCTGGAGGCAGAGGGGAGAGGAGGGCAGGGGGTGGGGTGGGGTGGGGCCGGGGCGCGGCTGCATTGTGCAGGGCGGGCAGGGAAAGCACGGCAGCCACAGCAGCCCCTCCCTCGCACACCCAGCCAGCCAGCTGCCCAAGCCAGCCGTTCCGTGGCCCAGGCCCCCAGGCCAGTCCGCCGGCGGCGCGCACCTGCACGATGGCGCGGGCGCGCTTGGCGGGGTCGCCGCTCTTGAAGATGCCGCTGCCCACAAACACGCCGTCCATGCCCAGCTGCATCATCAGCGCCGCGTCGGCGGGGGTGGCCACGCCGCCGGCCGCAAAGTTGACCACCGGCAGGCGGCCGAGCGCCTTGGTCTGGCGCACCAGCTCCACGGGGGCGCGCAGCTCCTGCTTGTGGGTGGGTGTGGTGGCGGCGGTGGGGAAGAGGGAGCGAGGGAGGCAGGGGGCGGGGGTTGAGCTGGAGGCAGGCGGGGGACACACACGCCTGGGGGCTGCACCCGACCTGCTGGTCGCACCCTTGGAGGGTGCTGCCCCACCACCCCTTACCCACCCCAGACCACCACTCCCACCCACACACGCGCGCCCTGGCTGCTCCTCCTTCTCCCTTTCTAAAAGAAACAAAGGAAAGGGGGAAGAAAGCGCGGCCCGTACACCGTACACCCACCTTGGCGTACACATACAGCTCGTCGTCGTCCATGGTCTGCAGCTGGCGGATGGCGCCCTGCACCGCCCGTGCGTGGCGCACAGCCTCCACCACGTTGCCGGTGCCCGCCTCGCCCTGCAGGCAGGGGCGGCGCGCGGCCCGGCTCGGCGCGGTGCAAGGGAGGGCGCCCAGGCAGGCGCCTCCGCCGACGCCGCTCCGCGCGCTCCAGCAGCCTTGCCAGCAACTTGCCACACACACACGCGCGCGCACACCATCCACACATGCGTCCTTGTACACACAGATACGTCCTCCACCCAAAGAAACCCACACCCGCCCCCCCCTCACCTTGGTGCGGATCATGGCTGCCCCCTCGGCGATGCGCCGCAGCGCCTCGCCCAGGTCGCGGCACCCGCACACAAAGGGCACCTTGAAGGCGTGCTTGTTGATGTGGTGCACGTCGTCGGCGGGGGTCAGCACCTGAGGGGCGGGGGCGGCTGGGCGGCAGGGTTGGGGCACGTCAGGCCGGGAAAGATCGCCACACCACCATACGCACGCTCCCTCGCACACGCTGCACCACCACCACCACCACCAGTCACGACCGCACAGCAACGGCCCCTGGCAACCACCAGCACACCAGCCACGGACAAGCACGCACATCACACACACACGCGCATCACACGCACACACGTGCGCGCACACACACACACACACACACACACACACACACACACACACACACACACACACACATACACACGCACCTCGCTCTCGTCAATGTAGTCGATGCCCACTGCCTCCAGAATCTGGGCCTCCACAAAGTGGCCAATGCGCGCCTTGGCCATCACGGGGATGGTCACCGCAGCCTTGATGGCCTTGATCATCTGCCCGGCGGGGAGCGGGAGGGCGGGCACGGAGGGGGAGGGTGAAGGGAAGGAGCACAGACAGGTGGGCCGGAACAGTGGGCTTGTGCGGAAGGGAGGCTTGCCACTCGAGCGCCGCCCGCTGCGCGGTCCGCTGGAGGCCGGCACCCCACCGCGGCTGCCTGCCGGGCAGGCCAGCCGGCTCAGCACTGGGTGGCAACGACCTAGGGCCAGCAGCAGCTGCAGCCACCCCCACCCCAGCACCCTTGTCAAACTCGGCCTCTGCAGCCGCGCCAGACGCACAGCAGCAGCTGCCCAGGCGCCAGCTGCCCGGCCTGCGGAGGCGCACCTGCGGGTCGCTCATGCGCGCCACGCCGCCGTTCCGGCGGATGTCTGCCGGCACGCGCTCCAGCGCCATCACCGCCACCGCGCCCGCCTCCTCTGCGATCCGCGCCTCCTCGGGGGTCACGACATCCATGATGACGCCGCCCTGCAGGGCAGCAGCAAGGGTTTAGGCAGCAGCAAGGGTTTAGGGTGCAATTGGCGGGGCGCTGGCCTTGCGTGCTGCAGCGCAGTGGCCGAGTCCGGAGGCTGGCGGCGGCGGCGGCCCACACTCCAGCCACAGCGCCGCGCACCTTGAGCATCTGGGCCAGGCCGACCTGCGGGGCAGCGGGGCAGGGGAGGCGGGCTGGTTGGAGCGGGTTCAGGCAGCGCCGCCGCGCCCATGCCAACCGCGTCGCATGCAGTGGGCCAGGTCGCACATCGGCTTCCCGAATCGCACCTTGACGGCCTGTGTGCCACGCTGCTGCTCGGCCATACTGCTGGACTTGGTCACCACAAAGGAGCCGGCTTTCCACGCCACTGGGGGCTGAGAAGATGTCTGTGGGTGTGAAGACGCTGCGGACAGGTGGGACGGGTTATTCGTCGCTTCGCTAAAGGCTCCTCCAATGCGTGGAAGTACGTGTACCGCGAGCCACCGGCCCGCCGCCGCCCCTCCGCCAAACAGGACACAGCCTGCCTTCCAAGGATGCATTGCCGGCATTGTTTCCCTCTCATTGGAAGCTTGTGACTTGTCCACCTGACTCCAAATGGCATGCAGGAGGCGGCGCAGTATCTGGCTGGCGCCTCGCCGCGCACGGCAGCGGGCGGGCCTCGTCGGCGACAGCGGCGGCAGCCAGACGGTCTGACTGCTGGAAGTGAGGATCTGGCTGTCTCACAAGCACCTGCCGGTTTGATGCGTGTGCGAACCAATGGAGGGCAACTTGCCTCCATTGAATGAATGCGCTGTGCCGCCGCCCAGGCAGGCCCCTTCATGGAGCAACATCTCAGCCTGCTCCTGATTTGTTTCCTGCTTTCAACTGATTCACTGGTGATCATTAGAGGTATTTGATCATCAGAGGTATTTGAGGGCCTGCCAGAGCGCCAGAAGATGGCGGGTCGGGTGCTGGTTGCGGTGAAGCGCGTTTTGGACTACCAGGCACGAGTGAGAGTCAAGCCTGACAAGGTGCGATGTTGACGTGCTGCCCAAAGCCCGCCAACTCGCCGCCCGACACCCGCCCAAACTGATCGCTGGCTCCCTCTGCCTTAGCTCGCTGCGTTAACTGCTTGTGCTGGTGCACCGTAGGCGGCCTGGCAGACAGCCATTTGCCTCCGCCTCTGCATGGCTCACGCCACCGCCGCCGCCACTTCGTTCCAGCGCCCGCCGCATGTTTGCACCGCCCACTTTGCAGTCAGGGGTGGATCTCACCAATGTCAAGATGTCGATGAACCCATTCTGCGAGGTACGGTGGGCTTACAGTAGGGCAGCGATCATGCAAACAGCCGCCCACATTGTATTGCTGCTCCTTGCCCCGCCTCCTTGTCTGCTCCTCCCCAGCCGCTTCCCGCCCCTATCCCAGCCCCCAACCGTCCCCTCTGCGCCCCAGATTGCGGTGGAGGAGGCCACCCGGCTCAAGGAGGCCAAGCTGGCTGAGGAGGTGGTGGTGGTGAGCATCGGGCCCAAGCAGGCGGCAGAGACGCTCCGCACAGCCATGGCCATGGGAGCAGACCGAGCGGTGCACGTGCAGACGGATGAGGAGGCAAGAGAGAGCGGGAGAGAGAGAGGGGGAGGGGGAGGAGGTTGCATGGCTGCTGCTGCAGCGGCACGTGTTGTGCTGGTGTCGGAGAGGGCGCTGAGTGGTTGCCCGCCAAAATGGGGTGCGCCGATTGGCCTGCTCCCTCCTGCTGCCGCTGCCTTGACCTGCAGGTGCAGCCGCTGGCGGTTGCCAAGCTGCTGGCGGCGGTGGCGCGGCAAGAGCAGCCGGGGCTGGTGCTGCTAGGCAAGCAGGCCATTGACGACGATAGCAACCAGGTTGGTGCGCGCAACCCCTGGCTGGTGCATGCAGCGTGTTGGTGGCTGATAGCGTCAAAGCAGGCTGCCATGACCTGGCCATGTCCCCCTTTGGTGCCGCGTGGCTGTGCTGCTGCTGTCGTGCAGACGGGGCAGATGCTGTCTGCGCTGCTGGGCTGGCCGCAAGCAACCTTTGCCTCCAAGCTGGTGCTGGATGCGTCGGCGGGCAAGGCGACGGTGACGCGGGAGGTGGATGGCGGCCTGGAGACGGTGTGTGAAGCTGCGAAGCTGCACACGGCTGGTGCAGGGCGTGGGCGAGGGGCCGACGCACCTCTTGCTGTCGGTCGCTTTGCGTCCCCAGCCTGGCGCCGATGCTGCACCTCACCTCACGGCCCGTGCCCGCCCGCCTGGCCCGCCCTGCCTGCCTGCAGCTGCGGGTGTCGCTGCCGGCGGTGGTGACCGCCGACCTGCGGCTGAACGAGCCGCGCTACGCCACGCTGCCCAACATCATGAAGGCCAAGAAGAAGCCGCTGGCAACCACCTCGCCGCAGGTGGTGGGGTGGGGGGTGGGGAGGGGAGGGGTGGAGGCGTGCTGTGGGGGATGAGAGTCGGTGGCGCAGGAGGGGAGGGCTCACAGGGCAGCAGGGTGGGTAGGCTGGCTGGCAGGGCAGCCAATCCTGCCGCCATGCCTCACTCTCGCTGCCCCATGTCTCCCTGTGTGCAGGAGCTGGGCGTGGATGTGTCGCCGCGGCTGCAGACGCTGCGGGTGGAGGAGCCCGCCAAGCGCAAGGGCGGGGTGATCCTGGGGTCGGCGGCGGAGCTGGTGGACAAGCTGCGGAACGAGGCAAAGGTCATCTGATGTTGGTCGCCGGGGGTCTTGCTGCCACCTGGTGCCGCGCGTTGGGGCCGCAGGCGCGCCAGACGTGCATCATTCCCACGTCTGTGCCAACCGCCTGCCTGGCCCATGCCCAGCCGGCGGCTTCTGTACCTACCTCTGTATCTCCCCTGCCTGGCGCGGCTGTCAGCTGTTTTGTATTTGGGTTGTTCACACAGCCACAGTAAAAAATGCAATTGTAAAGCGCAACGCAGACCCCGGTTGCGGTCAGTTCCCCATACAACACACAGTAGTACAAATACACAAGTTGCTCCGAGGCGGGCAAGGTAAGAATCGGTCAGTTTGCAGTGAGAGGGAATGGAGAGACGGAATGAAAGGCGCTAGTCGTACAATGGGTGGGGGCGGGATGGGGCCACCCCTTTCCACCAAGTGGGGTTCAGCGGTGTTTGTATGCAGCAGGTCGGGAATGGGGGGTTCGCATCTCAGGAAGTGCAGGAGGCAGAGGTGTTGACGCGAATCACGTGGTCGCATACAGGCGTACAGGCGGTACAGGCGCCCGGGACTCGGGATACAGGTGGTGTAGTGGTACAATGACAGCGGGGCTCGACCAGCCCCGATTGTGGGAAGGCTGGCCGCTCGCCCTCGGCTCCGTCGGCGCAGCGGCTCTTCAGCGCCGCGGCCTGGCGCCGCCGGGCGTGCTGAACACGGCCAGCAGCGTCTTGCTGATCGCCCAGCTCAGCAGCGCCAGCTTGCCGGTCTTGAGGGCCACCAGCCAGGGGTCCTCTCGGTCCAGGCGCCGCCGCGCGCGCAGGCGCACGCGGCCGCCGCCACGGGCGCGGCGCTCCATGGCGTGCAGGAAGAGGTGGTGGGAGGGGTTGACATAAGGGTCGAGAGGCAGCAGCGCCCCGCTGGCGCCGCGGCAGCCGCAGCACAGGTAGGCCTGCGGGCGGCAGCGCAGAATTGATCAGCGCAGAATTGAACGGGCGAGCGGGCACGGGTTGCCACCGGGCGGGCGGTGGATGGTGGAGGAGGGAGGGGCAGCACCCTGGAAACAAACACACGGCGCAGCACAGCACGGCATAGCACAGCACATCACAGCGCAGCACAGCACAGCACAGCACGTGCGCACCTCTGTGGGCTGCCAGTCCAGCAGCGCGGCGGCGGCTACCGCATCCTCGCCGCCCTGCAGGTCCTGCAGGTGCGGCACCGCCCAGCCCGGCACCAGCTGCTTGGCAGCTGCCTCTGCGGCGCCGCCCGCCACCGCCGCCGCCTTGCCCAGCTGGTGCATGGACAGCTTGGTGGGCGGCGGCGGCTCAGCCAGCAGCCGTAGTTCGCGGCCGATGCGGGCAGCCACCTCCTCCGGTAGGTGCCCGCTGCAGGCAGGCAGGCAGGGCAGGCAGGCAGGCGGGGCGGGCAGGCAGGCAGGTGGGGAGCAGGCGTGGCAAGCTGGCGGCCAGAGCGGAAGCGCGAGCGAGCGAGCCCGACGACGCGACAGCAGCTGGCACCGACAGCGGGCGACAAAGGGCTGATTCACACTCGCGCGTGGGGGCGAGCCCGTGCGCACGGGGCCGGGCCCACAGGGCGGCAGGGGCAGTCGCACCTGAGCTCAGCCTCCACTGCCTGCACCAGCCCCGGGGGCAGCCCCCTGCCGCCGTGCTGCTCGCCGTACTGGCGTACCAGCGTGGCGCACAGCTGGCGGCAGGCAATGTCTTGCAGGGAGGCGGCGGAGGTCAGGCCCCAGCCCTCGGCCCGCACCGGCTGGTGCAGCAACTGCGCCAGCCACTGCGGGCGCACCTGCCCCTGCCCCTGCTGCATGCCAGCCAGGGCCGTCTCGCTGTGGCAGCGCCGCGGGGGGCGAAGGGTGCCCGCGGGGCTGGCCGCCGCCTGGTGCTGGAGCTGCGCCGCAGGCGCCTGCTGCTCCGGCACGCCGTCTGCCGCGTGCTCGTGCACGGTGGTCAGGCTGGGGGCCCGCGGCAGCACGCTGTGCCCGCTGTGCCCGCCCAGCGACGCGGCAGGCGCCGCCGCCGGGCTGCCGCCGCCGCTCAGCACCTGCATGCTGGCCGCACGGCGCAGCGCCGGCGCCGGCTGCCGCGGGCGCTCGGGTGGCAGATGGTGTTGCGTGGGCGCGGGGGCAGCGCAGGGCAGCCGGTCGAGCAGGTGGAGGGGGCTGTGCAGGAGGGTCTGCAGGGGAGGTAGGCAGCAGCGGCGGCGGCAGACAAACACTGTTAGTGCACTGCCTCCAGCACCCTTCAGGCCGGGCCATGCACCCTCAGCAGTGGCTCTCAAGCGGCTGCGACTGCCGTCCTGGGCGAACAGGCTGCTGCCTTGCCTGGTAATCCACAGGCGAGAAGAGCTCCCAGCGGGTGGGCCTGTCCAGGGCGTTGACCGTGGTCAGCAGGCCGTCGGGCAGTACAGACAGGTACAGGTGGCGCCCGCCCACCCGCCGCACCGAGCGGATGCTGAACCCCGCCGCAGTGGGCCCTCCGCCGCCGCCGCCGCAGGTGCCGCCGCAGGCGGACGTCACAAACCCGGCCGTGCCGGCCGCCTTCTCGCCGGCTGCCTCGCCGGCGCCGGCTGCCTCGCCAGCTGGCGCGGCGGGCTGGCAGCCTGGCAGCGCGGCCCAGGCCGGCTCCACCCAGAACAGCAGGCGCTCGTCGGGGTGCACGATTGCGCCGCCGCGTGCATCCAGGCAGGGCGCCCCCAGGTCGTCCACGTACAGGCTGCGCCCGCTGGCGCCGTGGCGCAGGCTGTACACCGCGTCCCCGTCGTGCTCCAGCAGCCAGGCCGCAGCGGCCAGGGCCGCCGACGCGGCGGCGGCGGAGCCGCCGCGCGGCGGCGGCGGCGGCAGCAGGGCGCCGCCGGGCCGGCTCTGCGACTTGCGGGCGGACAGCAGGTGGCCGTGGGCGGTGAGCAGCAGCGTGGGCTTGCTGCTGGCCAGCTCCAGGCTCAGCCTGCTGGCCTTGCCTGGCCCGCCGCCGTCCGCGGCCACCAGGCCGCCGTTGCGCACGACCAGGGGCGCCAGCGCGCGGCACGCGCCGTCGCCGCCGCCGCCGCCGTCCTCGCCCCGCGCCGCGCCCGCCGCCGCCGCCGCCGCCGCCGCCTGCGGCTGCTCGGCCAGCAGGGCGAGGTCGCCGCTGGGGGACAGGTGCAGGGTGAAGCGCTCGCGGCCGGCGGCGGCGTGCTGGCGCCGCACCACCACCTGCCCTGTGGCTGAGTCCCAGGACAGCAGCTGGCGGCCGTCGGCAGTCCACAGGGTGCAGCTGGGAGCCACCAGCGCGCCGCCCTGCACCCGCAGCGCCGCCGCCTCGCCGGGGGTCAGCAGGAACTCCTCGCGGCAGCACACGGCGGGCGCGGAGGCGCACAGCGCGCCGCCGGCCGCGGCCGACAGGTAGCCGCCGCCGTCGTGCTCGCAGCGCAGCGCGGCGCGCAGCGGCCAGGCCTGCTGGCTGTGCGGCGGCAGGCCTGCCTCCTCCAGCAGGAACAGCTTGGAGGCTCGGTCGCGGCCCAGCGGCAGCCGCCCCGCCACCGCCGCGCCGCCGGGACCGGCTTGCAGGCACGTCTTGCCTGCCAGCCGCAGCGCCACGCCTGCGGGCAGGGCAGGGCAAGCCGGCGTTTGAATCATGTGAGGGTGGGGGGCGGGACGGGGGCGCAGCTGGCTGGCAATGCACCCCCAGACACATGCAGGTCGCTGGCGGCAGGCTCCCATGTGCCGCAGGCATGGCAGGGCCTTCATGTTGAGGGTCCAGTGCTCGGGTGTACCGGCAACCCTGGCCCTGTGATGCTGAACCCCCTGCGGCCGCCGCCACTCACGTCTGTCTAGATCCATGAAGAGCTGCAGGCTGTCTGGCATGTCAGCCAGCCTCAGCTCGCCAGAGGCAGCCGTGAGGAACTTGCCGCAGCCCGCCAGCTGCAGCGTGTATCGCCCCGCCGCCACCGCCCGCAGCACCCAGGCGTCGCGCCGCCGTGGGCCGGCTGCAGGGCTGCCGCCGGGCCCACGGCTCCCAAATTCCAAGCGACCATCGACGGCGCGCAGAGCGTGGCCCTTTGAGTCGACCAGGTGCACCAGGGAGCTGACTACAAGTGGGTCTACATACCCTCCTGGCACCTCCTCCTGCCCTCCCTCCATGTCTGAGAACCGATCTGGCACTGTGCAAGCAAGTGTGGTGGCCTGGAGAGCGGGTGGCGAGCTGTTTCCTTTTTTCGCGCCCTGGCCGTGTGCTTTCTTGGTCGGCCGGCCCGACCGAATGGCGAGAGTTGGACGCCCACTCTCCACTTTCTGACTGTAACTTGCGGTGGTGGGGTGGGGGTGGCGGCAGGCTGTGTATCGGTGCCTGCGGCGATTGGAAGTGCGTCTTTGCTGCGACTACGGTGAATAGCGGGGTGGGGGCAACCGGTGCATTGTCGCGCCGATGTCCAAGGCCACAGAGCCCAGCGCCGAAGAGGACATTGTGGCCAGCGGCGAGGCGCTGCGCACGGTGCGGCGGCTGGCGGCACGCAGTGCCTGCACAAGGACCCGACCTGCTGCGCCCCGGTCTGTGCTGCCTTTGGATATATTCGCCTGCCTCCGTATGTTCCTGCATCAGCTCCCACTCGCAGACGCTGCCAGGGCAGTGTCGGCTTGCGCTGCCAAGCCAACGCCACTGCCGCCGCCTTCGCGGCCGCAGGTCGCGGGGTGGCTGGGGGTAGGTGACGTGGACAATGTGCTGGAGAAGGAGGGCCTCAACCCGGAGTTTGAGATGGGACGCCAGCAGGGGCTGGGGCTGGGGGCCAAGTTCCTGCCCCACCACAAGGTGCGTCAGGGCTGGGCTTCCACGAGGCAAACCGCGGTGGCTCCTGCACTCTTGCCCCAGGCCAGGGCCATCTTTCCCACCTGCCCTCTCGCTCTGCACTGTCGCTTGGCCTGCTTCACCGACGTGCCCTGCAGGCGATTGCGCTGACGTCTGGCGTGGAGCAGCGACTGGGCAGCAAGCTGAAGCGCTCGACGGAGCGGCGGCTAGCAGAGGAGGCGCAGAGCGGCCAGCATCAGCACAGCCGGGAAGCAGCCCTGCGCCACGGCTTTGGCGGGCAGCACGGCCAGCGTCACGGCAAGGCGGCGCGCCGGCCGCAGCAGGTGCACCAGCCTGCGGGGGCGGCAGCGCAGGCCAGGGGCGGCGCTGACGAGGATGACGACAGCGAGGAGGAGGAGGGACGTGGCAATGCCTTTGGCAAGGGCAAGCATGAGGCGAGCAGGCAGGTCGCCTTCAACCGGAGCGACCTGCTGAGAACCAGCGAAGCAGCACACGGCAAGAAGCGGAAGCGGAAAAAGGGCGGGCAAGCGCTGCCGCCGCCTGCAGGCACCTAGTGCTTTGTGCAGCCCAGCGGGGCTCCTCCCCAGGCGGCCGTTGTATCACCCCTTTGCTTATCGAAGGGGTCCCTGTAAGCTTGCACTGTCTGCTGCACCCCCCAGCAGTGTCACGCAACTGGAGGAGGACTTTAACTTGTTCAAACAACAGCAGTATTCGAGCACAGTGTGATGCTGGCGATCCTCTCGGAACAAAATTCAATCAGGCATGAAATCTGCTGGAAGTACAAGAAAGCAATTGACGCATTGACACAGGTGTGGCGACAACAAGCGTGAAAATGGCGATGGCGATGCGTGTGTTCCCATCCCTGGCACAATACAAGTTATGCATAGGCGCTAAAGCGCCCTGCACGCACCGCTGAGTGACCACCCTGGCAGCTCAGGGTTGGCCAGCCGCAGCGCCATCAGCCGCTGCAGTGGAAAGGAGACAGCACAAGCAAGACAGCAAATTCATGGCACTGCAGCTCTTCCCTGCCACGCTGGATCGTTCCCTCCCTCCCTTCCTCCCTCCCTCTCCCAGCCCTCTTCCAAACTCAGCCCAACACTCGGCCGGATTCCAGCCAAACAGACCACACAGACCCACCTGTGTTAACCAGCTCTACTGGCGCCACAACCTCCTGCTCCTCGGCTGGGCTGGCTGACTGGGGACCCGGGGGCAGAGTGCTGGCCTGGGCTGCAGCCGCATCCACAGGCGCTGCTGCCGCATCCGCAAGCGCCGATGCCACCGCCGAAGGCTCTGCAGCGGCCTTGTCATCTGCAGCACACATGTGTGGGGTGAGGACGAGGCAACCGGCTGCATGTACCATCCCCACAGGCGACCAAGCCACAGCGCAGCCGACAGCAGTGCAGCCGGCCGCAGCGGCAGGCGACATGCGGCGGCGGCGCACCCGCCGAGCCCTGGGCTGCCGATGACGCCTCCATTCCAGCCCTGGCCAGTGGCACCACGACAAAGGCCGCCACCGCCACCGCCCCAGCCGCTGCCAGCAGGCCAGAGGAATGGGTGAGGAAGTCGAAGGCAGACTTGGCCGCCACAGCCGCCACGCCGACCTTGGCTGTCAGCACAGCGGTGTCCATGCTGGCAGCAGCGGAGACGACACGCTCGGCTTCCATCAGGCCGCCCTGGCGGCAGGCACGCGGGCGGCAGGCGGGCAGCACAGGTGAGCCCTGGCCAGCAGCAGCTGGTGCGCCCTGCTGTCATCCCTTCGGCTGCCTATGCAGGCTCGCCCAACCCACCAACTACATCGCCACTCCTTGCTGTTGGGCGCCCGCCCAGCGGCCACCCACCTGCGCGATTTCTTGCACTGCCGTGGTTGCGGCCTCCACCTCGCCCACCGCAGTCCCCACAGTCTTGCTGGCCATCTCCGCAGACTGCCCCGCCACCGCAGGCGCCTCTGCCAGCAGCCGCGTCACCTGCGCCGCCACGTCGCCGGCCGCGGGAGCCGCGGCGGGCAGCTTGCCCACCACCGCCTCGGCCGCCGTGGCAGCGGGCAGCGCGGCAGACGCGACTGCCTCCACAGGAAGCTGCCCCACCACCGCTGGCGCTGCTGCTGACGTGGAGGCGACGACGGCAGGGGCGACAGTCGGGAGCTGCGCCACCACTGCCGGCGCCGCGGCCGAGGTGGTGGCGACGACTGCCGGCGCGGCCACCGGGAGCTGGCTGGCCACCTCGGCCGCCGCCGCAACTGGCAGCGCTGCCATGGCGGCATCTGCAATGGCCGGCACCGCGGGTGCAGCAGGCAGCTGCGTCACAACTGCCTCGGCCACCGCCGCAGCTGGCAGCGTGGCGGCGGCGGCGGCATTGGCTGCCGCCTCCACAGCAGGCGCCGCCACGGTGACAGCCGGCAGGGCCGCGGCGGCCACATCGACGGCGGCCGCGGCGCTGCCTGCGGCGGCAGCCACGTCGGCTGCCACATCCGCTGCTCCTGCTGCCGCCGCCACTGCTCCCGCTCCCGCCGCCGCCAGGTCGGTGGCTGCCTCTTGGGCCACCACGATGCCGCCCAGGCTGGCCAGGCCCGCCATGGTAGCTGCAGCAGGGAGCAGGGAGGTGCCTCCAGCATTGTGTGGTGGGTATGTGTGTTGCTTGGGAAAGGCCTCGGCTGGAGTGCGGGCGCGTGCTTGTGCTTGCCTGCGGCGTTGCCCGGCTCGACCTTGGCGCCGCCCTGCTTGGCGGAGCTCTTGGCGCCCGCCTTGGCGCCCTTCTTGATATTGCTCGTCTTGACATCTGCCTTCTTTCCCTTGCCAGCCCTAGCAACAACCACAAAGCGACAAGCGCATGTGGGCCTGCCGCTCGGCGCCCTCAACAGGCTGCTGCTGCCTGCAAGCTGCGGGGCAACCATCGGGCACTGCAGCGACGACGCGTAGTAGAGCAGGAGAGGAGTCGATCCACTGATCAGCAGGCGGCGCAGCGCATCTCAGCGCGTCGCCGCCATTGCTCGAGGCAGCGGCACCTGGGTGGGGCAGCCTTCCCCCCGTGTGAGCTGCCCTCCACCTTGGCAGCCAATCGATATGCAGGGTTGATATGCTGGTGCTGCAGTGCATGATTTGGTGCTTTCCGCAGCACACTGGCCGCGGCAACGTGGCAACGGTCGGTTGTGAAGGCGGGCGCTCTTCTCTTCCGATGCCAGTCCCTGAGGACGTTGCAATTGAGTTGTGTCAGTTACTCACCTGGAAACTTTGCGGCGCAGCAAAAAAGCACAACACGCGGTGGGCATGACCAGGTGCCGGGGTTGCCGGCAGCGGCGGCGACCATCTGCAGCTGGCACATCCGTCTCTTCCTCATTTTTTTCTGTGACGACACCACCGGATCCTGCAGAGGCCACTGCAGTCCTCTGCCTATCCTGCACTGAGGGCGCGCTGGGAGAATGGCTCGCGCTCAGGCTGACGCGCAGCAGCGCGTGGAGGATTGCTGCCCTTCCGCGGAGGAGAAGACGCACGACGCCAGCGAGCCCAGCACCGCAGCCAAACTCGGCCGCGGCGCGAGTGGCGGCAGCGGCGGGAAGGACAGCGTGCTGCTGGAGCGGCGGCCATCCAGGAGCAGCAGCCGTGTGAAAGAGGCAGACTATACAAAACGCTACTTCTCGCAGACCCCGGGCTGGAGGTTCAAGCTTGCCGCCGGCTACAAGGTATGCTGCTGGGTGCTGACCAAGGCTTGCTGCCCACCGCCGCTGCTGCACGCCGTCCTTTACATTGCTGCGCCGCGCTACTGCCTGGTGTGTGCAGGCACTGCTGGCCCCAATCCGATAGCTTGCAACGGCTACGTGACTGGCGGTGCTGCAATCAGCCACGGCTGGCGTGTTTGCCGCTGCCCATGGGCTGGCGGCGGGCTGGCGGCTGCGGCTGCCCAGGGTCAGCCCAGATAGCAACTGTGATGAAGTCAACACAACGAATGGCAGCCAGCAGCATTGTTATGTTCCCGTCACCGGCAGATGCTGGTATACCTCTATGCAGTACCTCTGTGGGATGTGATTACGTGCAACAGGTTTGACTGCTTTGTTCATCAGCGCGTGCATCCGCATCATCCTCAGCGCCCTTCTCCCCTGCCTGCTATTGCATGCATGTAGCTTCTCCCCTTGTGCTCTTACCCCCTGCCCGGCCCTGCCCGGCCTTACTCTGCCTTCTGCTATTACTTGCAATTTTGCTTGGTGGTCATTCGCTCTGATTCTTGCTGGTAACCTTCGGGCCAGGGTGTCGCCGAGCATCGTTGAGGAGGAGTTGGGGGTGGGACAGGAAAGCGGGAAAATACTCACATATATGCAGGCTCAGCTGTTAAGAGACTGCAGAGCAGCTATTCGGATGTTCAGGACTTGCATCAGACGCGCCTGCTCCGTGCTGGGGTCGAATGAGGGTGGCAGCTGTGCGGCAACGTGAAAAGAGCGGCGCCAGGCGGCCCCCCCGGCCAGTGCCCTCATGCACGCTCAGTGCTGCGCTTCTCAAAACAGGAGCAGTATTGGCACAACAGAGGAGTGGCAGTGACGTGAGAGGGCAGAAGCCCAGACACAGGCAGCTGTCTGGCTGGCTGAATGGGCTCCCGGCCGCCGCCCTGCGGGTGTTGCTTTACGCCGCAAAGCAACGGCCCAGACAGCCCGCGGCAGGCGGCACCAGCCGGCCACCGGGTGCGTCTGGGGTGCCTGAGTGCGCAACCGAAGGGACCAAGTGCTGTCCGAGTGCCACGTTTGGTTGATCTGGGTCACAATGAAGCCGGCGTCACCCGCCGCTGATCAGTCGCGGCGACGACATTCCCCGACCCTTGGGTGCGGGACAGGCGGCGACGGCTTGTGTTTTCCACTGCTGGGACTCCACAGACCAGCTTAAGATCGAGAGGTGGCATGAACAAGCCCGGAAGAGGGCGGGCCGGCACGGCACGGTGCAGGAGGGAGGTGCCCCGGAGACCTCTTTGGGCGCCTGAAAATGGTCCAGTGTCCTTCAAGACGAGATAAACCGGGGTGCAAGCATGCCAGGATCGCTGTGGAAGGCGCCAGGCGGGACCCGCCATCGGACCCAGTTGGAAACCGGGAAAAACGGCGGCAGAAGAGGCTCCTCTGCGGCAACAGTGCCACTATTCCGCCGCCGACCTACCCGTTTGCAGGCGAGTATATTTTGTTGCGTCGTTTGGTGCCCGCTGCAGCCTCCCGCAGCCCTCGCACTAGCTGTTAACAACGGGGGTGCCCCACGATTGCTGCTTCCCGCCCCTGCCGCTGCGCTGCCCAGCCCCGGGCGTGTTGTCTGGTGTTGGTTTGGGCGGCCGCGGGGCGGTCGAGGCCCGCCAGCCGCCAGGCCGCCCTCCCTTCAACACCTCGCCCCTCCTCCCACCCTCCTGCTCCCCGCCCCGCCCCTGCCCCTCCTGCAGACAAGCAACACAAGCAACTATGTCTGGCAAGGGTGAGCGGGCGCCACGATCACTGGGGGCTGGGACCGATCGCCGTTTCGCCTGGTGCCCAGCCCACCCCAGCGCCTGCCTGCTGCCCAGCGGCTGACCCCTGCTGCCGCCTGCGTGTCTGCAGGTGCAAAGGGCCTGTCCGGCAAGGTGCGAGGAGGCTAGGGGTGGCTGATAGCACCGCACCTCCGTCGCTCTTTCAAACTCGGCGGCGCTGCTGGGCCTCTGGCAGAGCAGTTGGGACCTGCTGGGCGGCGGCTGAGGGCCAGGAGGGGCAGACAGCGGCCTGGGCAGTGGGTGGCAGTGCGACCGGCACCCCCGACAGCTGGGCGGCGCTTGAACGGCGGTGCTGCGCGCGACGGCCAGCCAGCTGGGCTGCCGAGAGCTCGGGCTGGGGCAACCCCGCTGCCCGGCGGCGCCGCCTGCCTTCCTCAACCCCCCATGCCCCCGCTGCCGCCTGCAGGGTGCCAAGGGTACCATCGGCATCAAGGGCGCTGGCGGCGACAAGAAGAAGCCCATCTCCCGCTCGGCGCGTGCCGGCCTGCAGTTCCCCGTGGGCCGTATCCACCGTCTGCTCAAGGGCCGCGCCACCGCCAACGGTCGTGTGGGTGCCACCGCCGCCGTGTACACCGCCGCCATCCTGGAGTACCTGACCGCCGAGGTGGGGAGCGCCGCTGGCTGGGGGGGGCGCCTGCCCGCACCCACCCATGGCTGGGTGGCAGCCCAAGGCGGCCGCCTAGCCCGGGTGGGGGGAAGGGAAAACACAGCGGCAACTGGCTGGGGGCCGGCCCCACAGCTGCACGGCTGCACAGGCAGGCGGCACGCTTCGGGATGGCCCCTCCAGCTGCGAGTGCTCTTGCTCGTCCCGCTCACGCCCGCCGCGCTTGTGTTTGCAGGTGCTGGAGCTGGCTGGCAACGCCTCCAAGGATCTCAAGGTGAAGCGTATCACCCCCCGCCATCTCCAGCTTGCTATCCGCGGTGATGAGGAGCTGGACACGCTGATCAAGGCCACCATCGCGGGCGGCGGCGTCATCCCCCACATCGTGAGTTGGAGGGCTGGCGGGGGAGGCCCCCAGCCTGGTGGCAGCCGCGTCCCGCTGGCCAGCGGTGGCAGCGTCGTGATGTCTTGCAGCGGTTTGGCGCACCTGTGGCCGGGGAAGGGCGACGCTGCCTTGCGCGCCGGGCCGATGCCCGTCATCATTGCACCTGTGCCCAGCCTGGCAGCTCCCAAACCCTGGCCCTCCCCCCACCCCTGCCCCGCCCTGCAGCACAAGTCCCTCATCAACAAGCAGGGCAAGAAGGAGGGCTTCCCGCTCATGCCCCCCCTGTAAGCTGCTCGCCAGCCCAGGCAGCAGCAGCGGCCGCGGCATGAAGCAGCTGGACCTCGGTGCGGCTCCTGCCCGGCGCGGCCAGGCGGCTGCTGGTGCCGTCGGCAGCCCAGGGGCGGCCGCACGGCCCGGCAGCTCCACCCTGACGCGGCTGGGTGCCCGCGTGGCGCCCGCCGCCTGACATGACCCCACCCCACAGCAGCCACAGGAATGTGCGTTTATCAACTGTGTATCAGCAATGCCTGTACCCACCCGAGCCCTCTTCTTCCTCTGACCCGGGTCCTCACTCGGTGCGCACACCACACACACACAACCCAATTTGCCATGCAGCATAACACGCACCCACCATCATGATGCGATGGTGGCCAATGTAATGCAAACAGCAAAGCCCCATATGTGTGTCACTGGAGATGCCAGGAGAGCAGAGCCCTGCACCGGAGTGAGGTGCTTGGGCACCGGCGGGCGAGGCGGCGACGCCACGGGCGCTGCGCGTGAAGTGCCGGCCTGGGCCCACAACCCTGGACGAATCGCGTTGCTGGCACGCACATCAACACTTTCCATCTCTTCGTGAACTGCAGCTCGGCCCCTGCCACCTCTGGGCGGCGCCATGTCCTCGCAGCTAGGCAGGGTGGGCAGGAGGGCGCTGCCCTGGGTGCAGCAGCTAGAGCGCGCAGCCCCTGGAGCAGTGCAGCAATTCAGCAGCGCTGCAGACGCGCCAGCAGCGCCAGCCGGCCGTGGCAGGGGAGCAGGGAGGGGCGATGGCGGACCACGCGCCCCAGGCAGCGGCCCTCGAGCCCCAGGAGGCATGGTGAGGGGCTCGCAGCGCGGGGAGGACGGTGGATTGCTGGCGGTGAGGTGCCGCCGTTGCGCCGCCGCCTGCACGGCTCCTGCTGCTCCCCTCTGGTTCAGCAGACCTGGCATGCTGCTAACAGCAGCTGAGCATCCAGTCAACATGCTGCCCAAGCACGGTGTCCTGCTGGCGCCCACACCAACATCTCTCCTGCCGCCCTGCCTGGCTGCAGTCGCAGCGGTGGCAGCCACGGCAGCCTGGCGGCGAGGGCGGGCGCGGCGCGCCCGGGCGCCAGCCAGGCGCCATGTCGCAGCTTCTGGCAGACCGCCCGCCGCCGCGCGGCGACCGCGAGCGCCGCGCGCGGCAGCCCTGGCGCCGCGGCCAGCAGCAGCGGCGGGAGGGGGAGGAGGGGAATGAGTTGGTGGAGGTGGAGGACGCGTCGGTCACGCTGCCTGCGGAGCTTCTCGACACGCCGCACGACATCATCACCCAGTTTGAGTATGCGCTCAGGGACGCCGCTGACCCCCAGGCAGAGGCGGTGCCGATCAGGGTGCGCCGCGCCGCCTGGAAGCGCCGCGCCGCGCTGGCTTGTGCGGCTTGTGCGGCCCACCCCCGGCCAGAGGTCCTCCGGCGGGCCCGCATGCGCGCGTGTGCCTGCGCCCAGCTGGGCTGCCCAGGGCGCCAGCGGCTGGCGCTGGGCTGCTGGCAGCGCGATGGACAGCAGGGCAGGGCGAGGGGGCGTGAGGCCCCCCTGCTGCGCCCCGCCCCGAGCCTGTCGTCGCTGCCCCCTCCCCTGCTCACTCGCCGCCGCCTGCAACCCGGGCCACGCACCCCGCCTGCTCGCAGGACCTTGTGACCGACATTGGCGACCTGGCCAACAGCGACAACCTGGCGCTGCTCAAGTACTATGTGACGCCGCAGGAATGGCGCGCCTTCTCCTCAGGTGAGACCCCGCGCCTGGGGCCACCCCGCTCCTGCGCTGCCAGGCCGCGGCACGCGGCCGCCTGCTGCCAGGGCCTAGGGCGGATCCCGTGCCCATCCCCCTCCCTGTTGCTCGTATGCTCGCTTCACTCCCGCTTGCTTATTGGCGGCTCGCTCGCGCCTGCCGCCGTGTCCCGCAGGCAGCATGGACACCGAGGAGCAGAACCATCTGCTGGACCGGCTGGCCACGGCGCTGATCGCCGACGAGCGGCACGTGGAGAAGAAGGAGGCGGTGGCGGCGGCGGTGCGTGCCTGCGCTCGTGGCCTGCCCACATGCTGAGCTGTGCAGCGGGCAGGCAGGCACCCGTTGGTCAGCCCCCGGGGGCCGTACGCAGCTGGCAGCCTGGCCGTCCCTGTCTTGGAGCCGCAGAGGGCGCGGCCGGCTGGGCTGGCGGCGGCTTGGGGCGTTTGGCAAGAAGCCGCACTCCACGCGCGTGCCTGCCGCCGCCGGCCCCGTTCTGACCGGCGCCGCTCTGTGCGCCTGGATGCTTGGGTGCCTGCCGCTTGGATGCCTGCTGCAGATCGATGCGGACCCCGACTATGACATCATGGCCAGCCTGGGGTCGCGGCCGCAGCTGCGCGGCACCCGCCGCGTGGCGCCGGTGCCGCCGCGGGAGGAGGTTGAGGCGGAGATCGATGCCAGCAAGGAGATGCTGATGGAGGAGCACAGCATGGTGAGCATGGCCATAGCGGGGCGCCAGCGGGGAGCCTGCCGCGGCCTGTCGCTAGCTGCGACAGCGGAGCCACCCAATGCCGAGCAGGGCCTGAGATGGGGGTTGAGGCGCGCGGGGCCTGGCCGGGCTGCCGGCAAACGATGTTGTTCCACACAGCGACGCGCACACCATTCGTGCACGGTGCCGCTCACTCGTACTGCCCCTCCCTGCACCGCCGTACCGCAGACCGAGGAGGAGTTTGAGGCGGCCAAGCAGGCCACGGTGCAGCAGATGATGGCGGCGGCGCACCAGGCGGCGGCGCCCGTGCTGCCCAACCACCTGTCCCAGGAGCGGCGGCTGATGGCGCTGGTAGACAAGGCGCTGCCGCGGGACCACCCCCACTATGCGGCCGCCAAGCAGCGGATAGCGGTGCTGCAGGTGGGCGAGGCCAGCAGGCGGGCCGGGTGCTGGGGGGCTGGCGCTGGGCGGCGGCGCCCGTCCCCTCCATTGCCGAGAGCCTGTGGCTGCTGGGGGCTGCGAAGTGACTGATGTAGGTGGCAGCCCAGCCGCTGAATATGCATGCCTCCGCCGCTGCCCCTCGCAGGCCAACCCAGGCTGGTCCCAGGAGCGCAAGATGGTGTTCACAAAGCGGCTCATCAAGCGCCTCGCCTCGGCATGAGGGCCTGCCATGGTTGCTGGGGCCCCTGCCCGCTGCTTTTCCCAGATGCACTTGCCACTTGCCTCCTGAATCAGGATCGCAGCTTGTCAAATGTCAAAATCTCCACCAGGGCGGTCAGCAAAAATGCCGGAGCGCGCGAGGCGGCAAGGGGCGGGGCAGAGGCAGTTCAAGGGGCGACAGTCAAAAGGAAACAGCGATCAAAAGGCTGGCTACAAAAAGGCTGGATGGGACATGTAGAAACACAAAAGTGTACACGCGGGTGATTGTTGCCTCGCGCCAAAATAAACTGCTGCCCGGCATGTTGGCTGGGGCTGGCTGCCCCGGCGGCGGCGCCATGCGCACCGGGGTGCTCTTCGAGTGCAGCGCCAGGGCTGCTCAGTACGGCAGCGCCTCCCTGCTGACCAGCACGCCGTCCTCGTCAGCATACACCCAGTCGCCTGGCCGCACCAGCGCCCCGCCAATCACCACGCGAACCTGGCGGCGCAGCGGGGAGGCGGGCAGGCACGTGGGCAGGCAGGCACCTGGGCTGAGCCACCACCACCACAGCCGCACCACCACAGCCACACCACCACAGCCACAACTGGCGCACGGCAGCCAGCCAGCCCCAGCACGTGCCCGGCAGGCGGCAGGGCAGCCCCCGCAGCCCACCGCTTTGAGGCCGGGGTCGCGCTTGCTGGACTTGAGGGGGCAGGGCGCCAGCGCCTTGATCCCCACCTCTATCTCCCCCAGTGCAGCGGTGTCCCGCACGCAGCCGTGGACGATGACGCCGGCCCACCCATTCTTGGCTGCCAGGCCCGCCAGCCGGTCGCCCAGCAGCGCACACCTGCGGCGGACAAGGGGCGCAGGGGAGAGGGAGCGCAGCCGCAAGGATTGGCGGTGCGGGGTCAGCGAGAGCAGGCGGTGAGGAGGGGCGCTGGCGCCTACCCCCCCACGGTGCCAGGCCTGCACGGCTGCCAGCCAGCAGGCGCTCACCGCCGGCTGCCGCCGCCGTCCACCACCAGCACGCGGCCGTGCCCTGGCGAGTCCAGCAGCTGACTGATCAGCACGTTGCTCTCGTAGCACTTGACCGTCATGGCCTGCCCGTGGAACCTGATCCGCCCGCCAAAGTCCCTGCGCCCAACGCAAGCGCAGGCGGGGTGGTGGAACGGGCAAGGCGGGGTGGAAAGCCGGGCTGGCGGGAGGCGGGAGAGCGGCGCAGGCGATGGGCTGCTGGCCCACCTGAGCAGCCCTGGCTCCATTATCGTGATGCCGGCATCGTCCACACAGTCCACCGGGCCCATGTGCTGGTCGCACAGCTCGGTTGTGGGCGGCGATGGGCCCAGCTGCACCGAGTCGACAAAGGATGGGGTAGGGCTGCTCCCAAACATGGCTGCCTCTGCGCAACCGGGCGGCGGCCAGCGGCGGTAGAGTCCTTGTTCTTCCGCTGCTTGATGTGCTGCACCACAGAGCAGCACTGTGGAACCGAGCGGCGGCGGTGGCGGTGGCGGTGGCGTTAGCGGTGGCGGCTATCGCCGGCCTTGTTCTGCCGCTGCCTGATCTGCTGCTGTGCAAAGTGGCGTGCTCGATCGGTAGCTGCTGGTTGTTCCAAGCTGCTCGCTGAAGGAGCGAAGACAGACAAAGGTGGGCAACAGTGTGCCCTGAGGCAGGCGGTTGCCTTCACAGGGCCGAATGCCGATTGGTGCGGGCCAAGTTGGGCCTGCCTGTCAGAAAATAGGCAAACCTCGCTCGCTGCCTTCTTCCCCTCCTTCGGTAGGCATGCGGACTGTTCTCAGGCATTCTGTGTGTCAGATCTCGGTCCCCGGCATATTTTCTGGCAGAGAGCCGCAGTAACGGGGAGAGAACCCCATGTCGGTGAGCGCGCGATCGCCCTCGTTGCTGCTCTCTGCTGGGGGCTGCTTCAGCCTCAACAGCGCCGCCCGCCGGCGATCCAGCCTGATGGACCGGCCCGGCACTGCGCCAGGCGGCCAGGGTACTGATGGCGGGTGCCGCCCGCCGCCGCCCGCTGGCACTCATGCAGCGCGCGGCCGCCCAGACGCAGTGCCAGGCAGCGGCGCCCGCGCGGCGCGTGCCAGCGCTGCACCCCGCGGCGGGCATGCCGCGCAGCGTGCCTGCCAGCGGCGCCGCCGCCGCGCCGCCCACCGTCCGCGCCGCCACCCGCCAACACCGCCGCCCGCCGGGACGCCGCGCCGCCGCCTGCCGCGTGCTGTGTGCTGCGCAGACGGTCGGGCAGCCCATCGAGTGCAAGGCGGCCATCGCCTGGGAGGCCAAGAAGCCTCTAGAGGTGCGCCCCCCGCCTGCCTGCCTGCTTCTGTGCACAGGCAGCCCTGGGGGCCCCGGCGCGACCCGCCACCCACCGCCACGCATGCGCACCACCCCTGCCTCCCTGCAGGTGACCACAGTGGTGGTGGACCCTCCCCAGGCGGGCGAGGTGCGCATCAAGATAGCCGCCACCGCGCTGTGCCACACCGACAGCTACACCCTGGATGGGCTCGACCCAGAGGGGCTCTTCCCCTGGTGGGTGCGCCCGCCTCGCCGGCAGGGCAGGCCCCCGGCTGACAGCCAGCCCCTCTGGCAGGGCGTGTGCATGGAATGGGTGCCTGGAGGCCCGCACGGCAGGCTGCGGGCGGCGGCAGCCACAGCCCTGCGGGTCCTGCCTTGCAGCACGCGCCTGCCGCTGCCCAGCGGCGCCCAGCCTGCACCCTCCTGCGCGCCCTTGCAACCACCGCCAGCAGCCGAACCGCCAGCTGCCAACCAGGCACCGCCCCCCCACCCCTGCCGCAGCATCCTGGGCCACGAGGCGGCGGGCGTGGTGGAGAGCGTGGGGGAGGGGGTGACCAGCGTGGCTCCGGGAGACCACGTCATCCCCTGTTACCAGGCCTACTGCGGGGACTGCATGTTCTGCAAGCACCCCAAGTCCAACTTGTGCACCTCGGGTGAGGGGGCAGGCAGGGGCAGGGGCAGAGGCAGAGGCAGGGCCAGGGGCAGGGGGCCGCCTAAGCGCCCCCTCCCTGCAGCCAGTTTGTCCCGAGCATCCCGACCGCTGAGCAGCCATGCCGCCGGCATCAGCCGCTTGCCCCCGCCGCGGGCCGCGTGCCGCCCTCGCGTCGCTCGCCGCTGCCGCGTGCTGCCGCCGCCGCCACCTCTCCTGCCGCGCCCGCTCCGCAGTGCGTGCGTTCACCGGCAAGGGTGTGATGAAGGCGGACGACAAGCCTCGGTTCCGCACGCTGGACGGCAAGCCGCTCTTCCACTTCATGGGCACCTCCACCTTTTCGGGTGCGGCCAGGCGAGGGGACGGGAGCAGCAGCAGCGCCGGGCTGCGGCTGCTGTTTGCGGCTGGGTTGGGAGGCCGGTGCTCTCCCATGCCCCACCCTGCCGAGCCTCCCTCCTCCTGCCACCTGTGCCGCTGCAAGCCTCTTGCGGTACCGCTCCACCTCTTGCGCTGCTGTACCGCCACTGTACCGCCACTGTACCGCAGAGTACACCGTGGTGCATGAGGTGTCTGTGGCCAAGATCCCAAAGGAGGCACCTCTGGACAAGGTCTGCCTACTGGGCTGCGGTGAGTGGCCCCCCCTGCCTGTGTCCCTTGCTCTGCTGGGCTGACTGCCATCACGGGTGGCTGCTCTGGGCAGGCCAGCAGTGCGGCCTTGCAAGCTGCTGGCCTGGGGCTGGGAGCGGGGCGGGCGCTGCCATCCACCCAGACCTTGGCTCACCCAGCCTGCCGAAGTGGAGGATGGATGGCTGGGCAAGAGCAGCGACCCGTGATGGCAGTCAGGCCAGCAGAGGAAGGGACGCCGGTAGGGGGGGCTAATCGGCGCAGCTCAGCAGGC